GATTCTGGTGGAGGAGCTGAAGCTGTAAACTCTGATGCTGTCGTTTCGGCTTACGACTCTTGAACGTAGATGTGAGCAAGCCGGTTGAGTATCAAACTTTTCACCTACAAGTCTTGCATTTCCCTATGACTTTGACTTGTTGCTTTCAAGAGTGAAGATTGTTCCTACGAACCAACACAAATCCTTTTAGAATATTTTATTCTCGGTCTCATGCTTTTTTGGAAAATACCTTAGGAGGTCATTTAATATAGAATTGTTTCAAGCCAAGTCCACTCTACTTTGGAGTTCCTATGCACGGACCACTTGAAAAAGGTGCGCTGGCTCTTGTTAGCTTCTTTTAACCATGTTTGCATAGTCTTAGGATCCATCCCATTTTAATTTAGTGTCGATTCTCTCATATGCCCCTCTGCATGTGTCATCCAGCGTTTTTGGCCCCCATTTTGATTGAGTGCAAGCTACAAAGCTAGACATGAGCCTTCATTTTGAAGGCAACCCTAGCTATGGCGGAATATTTTCTTGATGTGCCAATGTCTTTGGCTTTGTTCACCCAAGAAAACCTTTTTGAATTTAAGGCCACGACCTTCCTTTCCCAGAACTGAAATGAAAAAATGGTTGAAAGAACCAGGAGCTCTAACGCCTCACGATTCAAGCCGTTGTTGAGTCTTCTCACATGTACCACTTCTGCATTCCATCTTAATTGGCATTGGCTATTGAGAAGATTCTGTGTAACTTCCTGTCGGAAGGTAAGAAATGGATTTTTTTTTTTTGGCTTCTCTATTATATGTTTCACTGATTAATAAAATATTTGTTTTTCTTTTAAAAAGAAAATAATGTAATATTTTGTATACATATTACTACTTATAAGTGTGATAATTTTGTTTGTGATCTGCCGGGTTTGATGCTATAGTAGATTTTACATATTACAAATGAAATTTCTTGGAGATTTGACTGGACAGGAATTTGAGACTTTTGAAAGGGTAATTAGAACCTTTTAAGATTGTAATTTGAGACTTTTTAAGTTCAGGCTGATCATGTCCCTTGTGGAGGAGGTTCTATTGTCCCTCGAAAACCATTTTTGAGATGAGGGAAGATTTCTGTTATTTTGTGCCGGATGGAGAGATCTAACAAATATGTTTGGGAAATTATTAGATTTACTATTTTTTTTTTCGGGGTTGATTTCTAAGTTTTTTTTGTAATCTTTTTTAATTTTATATTTATCGGCCAGATGATGCTTTTGGATTGGAGGCCATTTCTTTAGTTGTACCTCCTTTCTTTTGGGGTTTTTTGTATGCCTTGATGTATTTTGATTTTTTTTTTTCATTTTTCTCACTAAAAAGTTTGTTTCTCCTAAATAAAAATAAAAAAAGATAGGGGTTTGGAATTTTTCAAAATTGTATACAAAATGATCCACATCTATTTTTAGGTACGGTAGGAAGTGGATTGTAGGTGTAACATTCAAACCTAATGTCACTGTGCCAACACCCTAGTGTGCACATCTCGGTTTCTCATCCAAATCAAATTTGTTATCCTTCTTGAGTTATGTGATTATAAGAGTATATATATATATATTATTTATTTATTTATATATATATATATATATTTCATGGTTTAGGTACAAGAAATAATTAGGTACAAGAAACAACAAATTATATCCAGTGAAATGCGTACATTTTTGCATTTTGAAATATATCGTTCGTTATTAAAAAATGGCAATGATGTTTAATAGGATATATATTAAACGGTAGTTATAATAGTATATATAATATAATCTTTGCAACCTATATGATGACGTTTTATAATAAAGGTATATTATTCACGTTTTGGTAAATATATATTTTGGAACACTTTTGATGTTTCTAGCACATAAGAATGGGAAATGACTTATATTGGTGTTATTTAAGGTGTAGCATTATAATTAATTCTACCACTCAAATTATAAATAAAATTAAAAAGTACATATTAGTACTCACAATAAATTCTTACTATTAATTGCAAAGTATAATAAATTTTCACAAAAAAATTCTAACAATTAATTTCATATAATTAGTGATAATGAAAATTAATTGAAAAAATTAAAGAAGATAATGTTTAAGAAATTTATAGTGATTTGGTAAAACCAGTCTACTTTATCCTCCAAACATTTCTTGGGCATTTGATTGAAAAATTTCGACTTTTTTCACAATTTTAAATCGCTACGAAATTCAATTCTTTTTCTAGGAGTAAGAACAAACCAATCCCTTCTACGGTTTTACAATGTAATTTGAAAATCAAAGAACAATCTTACAAACTCTCTCAAAAGGAGTAAATGGACAAATTTGAAACTCATGATATTTGTAAAAAAAAATTACAAATAAAAGTCCTCAAATAACTAAGAAAAAAATATATAATACAAACTCAAATTGCTAAAAAGTGATCAAGAAAGTTCTCAAGAATTGTTGATTTTCTCTGATTGTGAGTTCAGTCCTCCTCTATATGTTGTACTAAAAAACAAAAACCCAAAATAACTAGGTCGGGAGGAGGAAAACAATACTTATACCACTCATTTGATTTGATTTGAATAATATATAGTATTAATCATTTTTTAAAAAATGATGTGTATGATTCCACTGATTTGAATAAAAACAAATTAAAATCTCTGCTTTTTGACTGAAAAAACTTGTCCGTTAAGATTTGAAATTTAAATTAAAATAATTTCAATTTTCAATTTTAATGCTATTAAGTCGGAGAAAATTAATAAGCTAAAATTATATTTGTAACTAGTGGCAAATCTTATAATATTATTAGATTGAATATGCAAATTCATGACTCAACTATTTAAAGCCAATAATACCACGTTTATATGATATGCATGAATAATTTTATAATAATAACTCATTGTTAATGCTGACTTTATAAATTAATTACATCTAATTAATAGGATAGCAATGATATTTCATATCTTATCTTTAACTACCTAACACGATTAAATTTGATTACTCAATAAAAGATTAACTAAACAACATTGAATTTTCTAAAAAAAAAAAAACAAACATTAAATTTTAATTTGCTAATTAAATAATTTCCATCAATCTTTATTATCTTGTCCTGACATTTTTGCGTTAGACATTTCAATAACCAAGTTACTCATATTTTTACCGGATTAAAAATGATTAATTGTAGTTTAATTAAACTATAATTAAAAATTCATTTGCTAATTCAAACTATTTCCATTTTCATCAACATCTACGCTTCAAACATTACCCTAACACCAGTTTTAACCACTCATTTAAAATACAATCAAACTCAAGGTAAGCTCGTGAAAAGCTACACATAATCCACAGTCAAACAATTTATTATTTTCTCTACAACTTTATTTTAACAAACGATACAAAAACCACTATATCAACCGAAGGGCCAGAAGGCAGCCTAAGTACAATAATCAAAGAAGGATTCCAATCAATAATAACAAATTGGAATAACCCAACCGAACACAGCTCAACCGGTTAAAAATGCGTACTTGTTGCGAGAAAAAACAACAAATGGGAGGAAAACTTCAGTATGAGGTGCACAACAAGCGGTAGGAGGCGTATAGTTCAAGAGCAGTAAGAAGAAGGAGAGCAGAGACGACGGAGTAGACGAAAACTCTCCTGGCCACCATTTTAAATCCGCCATACTCGACCAGCTTCATGTGGAAACTCAACTGGAACTGGAAGCCTACATCGCCGGAATCTCCCATTTTGTGGTCTGATTCCGATTGGGCGGTGGCAGCCAAAATCTGGTGGCAGATCTGGCTCTGCTCCTTGCAAATGATGTCCATCTGGCACTGAACGCGAAACAGCATGGTGACGGCCTCGATGAAGAAGAAGAAGTAGACGACGGCGCAACCAAGGCTTAGACACAGAACCATCCACCAATGGGAACAGGGAGAAGTGGCGCGAGACACGGCGAAGAAGAGGAGGCGCTGCCAGATCAGGTACGCCATGGCGATGCTCTGGGCTCTCGCCTCCTGGTACTGCACTCTGCTCTCCTGCTTTTCCGCCACGTTCTGCAGCGCCTCGAAGTTCGTCTTCAGCTCCCAGAACGACGCCGTCTCGCCCATCGCCTCCATTACTTCGCTGGACCAAATCTTGTGCGCTGAAAAATTGACGTCTGATCGTGCCGGTGAGGACCCTTTATAGGAGGGAAGGTCGGGACTTGAAAATCGACGGTGGTTACGTCAGCAGCCGGCCGTGGTTTCCTCATCAGTGATGAACCATGGAATCGACTGGACTTCTTTAATGGTTGCGATTATTTTATTCCATGGATTTAGGGTCAAAATTTTATCCCACACGAAACACTAAATCCCTAAATCAAAAGGGATAAGAAGGGGAGATGTGTTGCTTCTCAATTTCATCGACATATCTAGATATTTCTTTAAAAAGTTAAGAAAATTTTAAAAATAGTAAAAAATATTTAAATTAACGAATAAATATTGTTCTATTTCTAAAATAATTAATATTAATATTAGATATATATTAGTAACATTTCGTTGTGTACTATGATGGAAATGTTGATTTATCTCTAATGTCAATATTGAACCCATAAAAGCACGAATATGTCGATGGAAATATCAACTTATCGACGAATATTTAGAATCATAATTGTCGGTAAGGAGGTTAAGGAGAATACAAGGGTCATAAAATATCTTTTAGGTTTTTTTAATAGTGTTTGACAAATTTTATCCCTTTTTCCTCTCTTCATGCACTTCCCCACTCCCTTTCTCTCTCTTATTCGTCTTCATTTTTTTCTAACTTATGCAGTAGTGTAACTTCTTTCTTTTCTCTCTTTCAAAAATACGTCGACAATATATTTTTCTTTTTAGTTTTTATACTTTTAAATGATTGTCTCTTACTAATTAACCAACAAAAGAGATAATTTGTTGATAAAAAGTACTGAAGAAAAAAGATAAAAGAAAAAAAAAATTAAAAAAAGTTTAACTTTGATCATTTGTGTGTTATTAAACCATGTGACATATAAGTAACATTTGCGTCCTTGGGATAGGAATATTAGTTTTTTAAATTTGGGCATTCATCTCTTGTTTTAATTTTTCTCAATTTCCTCCTTTTTGGTTGCTAACTAATAAGAAAACTCCCTCTCAATTTTTAGTGGATGTCGGCCAAATTGACTAAACCATTTTGTGTCTTGATATCTAACCATAATTGAATTGTTAATCTTGGATGGTGGTCCTCTTAAGCTAAATGGAAATAAGAAAAAAGAATTTCGCCAATATCTTAAAACTTCTTCAATTACATCCCATATCAAAAATGGTTACGAACTAAATAAAACTGTAGAAACCTCCACTTAACCTTAGAAGACAATAAGACACGGAACGAAATAACAGAAAAGAGAAAAACAATATAATGTTTAATCAACTTCTCGAAAATCATTTAAAATTATAAAAATTAAAAAGAAAAGAAATATACATCTACCTTTATTTGAGTGATAAAAGAAGGAGGTCACGGTACGGCATAAGTTGGGAAAAAAATGGGGATGAATAAGAGAGAAAAGAAGGAGGTGAGAAGGTGTAAAGAGAGAAAAAAAGGAAGAAGAATAGCCAAACAATTTCTAGAAAAACTAAATCAGATTTTGATGAGATTATGAGTTTTAACAAAATAATTAGAAAAAGAATAGTCAAACACTTATCTTTTTATGAAGTTGTGAGTTCGATTTCCCACTCCTACCTGTTGTACTAAGAAAAATAAAATAAAAGTGTTAAAAAAAGATATTTTGAGAGATCAAATATGATTTCGGATTTAGATGAATCTTTTCAAATGTGAACTTATAGTTCACAATGTTTATTTTGGAAAAAGAGAGAGAGAGAAAAAAAACACTTTTTTCTCGACCGATGTTCATACAATTGTGAAATTGATTTATGTAAATTTTGTTTCGGATGACCATTTCATTTCATATAGAAAAGCGATATTTGAAAATCTTGTTTGCGATCACATGAATCTTCCACTATCTTCCAAAATCTATTGAAACTAAATTCGGTCAAGCTAGATAGGTTGGATCAGAGTGAATTACGTGAGAAGCGAGGTAACAAACACTCCAAAACTCAAGTCAAGAAAAGATTCAAGTTACTGTAGGTCATGTTCAGACAGATTGGCGTTGGCGTACTTGAACGAGTGTAATGATTTCCTTTTACAGGAGCTAAGGGAGGGAGGGGACAAGGCCATTAAAGCTGCTCTAACAAGCGGTTACGGGCCTGCTTCTCAGATTCGTTTGGCCCTTAACTTGGTCTCCAAGGTTTGAAGGTCCTTGTATGAAAGTACGGGTCAAATAAAAATGTATTATTTTTAAAAATAATTGGGTACATAGAATATATTTCTTAATAATTTAAATTTTAGTAATAAGAAAAATCCTCGTAGAAAGTTTCAAAGTTGATAACTTTTATAATAAATAGTTTGCAAAGATTCTCATTTTGTTCGAAAAATGAAGATGAGTTAGTGATGAGTTGTGTGGAAGTGATAAGATTGTTGCTGCTTCGAAGTAAGCTTTACTTTGACCTAAACTACAAGAAATGACGCAACAGATTCCTGAGAAAATTCCCGCGTTTCAAAACAGAAAATAAAATTATTAAAAAAAGAAAAAGAAAAAAAGACACAAGTTTCTCCAATTATTTTATTATTTTTATTTTTTAGGGATAATAACTAATTTAAAATTGAAAGAGACGACCAGCCCCCAATTTGCGGAGAAAACTAACGAGATAACTACGAATCAATTTTAATGAAGGAAGGACTTTTAGGAGCGGTTTGATTTGTGTTCAACTAAAAATGGTTTTCTTTTCCATTTAATAAAATATATCTCGATAGGGATAAAAAATGTAATTTAAAGAATGAATTCTACCCCACGCAGATCAAACTTTAGGCCACGTTTATCCATCTACAGTTATAATSAAAATCAATCGCATTGAAAATCGATTGTAATGAAAGAAATCGGAATCGTAATATTATTCCGTTGATGTTGCTTACTAGAAATTTTCTGAAATCGCAATCAGAATTGTTTACTAAAATTGTCTGGAATCAGGATCGCCCGAGGTCGAACCCGAGAAAAATAAACTCTCGAGCGACTTTTAAATTTAAATCCTCACTCGAGGTTCTAAGCATCTAGAAATGTCATCAGTCTCAACCTCGGGTGAGACCGCGCCTGGGAAATTTTTTAAGAGGCCTAGAACCTTGAGTAAGGTTTGAAATTTCTTCCAAACATCACTCGAGGTTGAGTGTCTTTCAATTACCTCGGGCTCAACCTCGCCTGAGGTCGTTTCCGAGAATTTTGACAGAAAATTAACAAACCTGGAGTGAAAGAACAAATTTCTTCAACCTCGCTCGAGGTCCATCTCACTTCGCCCGAGTTTGCCCTTCTTCTTCAACCTCCCACCACAAATATTTCAAATAAACCTCACATCCTCATACACAGGGACTAGATCTGTTCGTTGTAAGATCACTGAAGGAAGGGTTGGTCATAAATTTGGAGAGTTTGCTTCGACACGGAAACGAAGAYTTTCGAGAACAAATATTGGACCGGGAAAAAAAGGGGGATAAAGTCAAGTCTAAGCGCATATGGCACGAAAAGGAAATCCGATTTCGCATTTCATATTCACTCTTTTTTATTCTCAAATAAAGTTTCTAGTAAAATGAGATATYTGATTCTGGATAGAATCAGAGGAGCCGCTTCTAGCATTTCCATTTCGCGATTCAGATTCAGWGCGCGAATCTGTACATTCCTATCCTAAGAAACCTCAAAATTGACATAATAATATACTTAAAAATCAAGAATAAGGAACACACAAACAGTAATCAGTTTTCCTATTTTTCAAAACACGAAATACATGAGAAACAAAACTTAAATCAATGCAATGTAATTTGCGTATTCGTTCACCCAAACACCGAAAAACAGAATTGACGGAAAAACAAAACATTCAATTCCTCAACAGCGATGAAAATAGAAACCCTAACATTCAAATCAATCAAAAAGAACAAAAATTAACAGAGGAGATGGAACAAAAGCGATTTTGAATAGAGAATACGATCGAACAGAAGCGATTTTGAACGAGGAGAGAAAGATACGTCCCATAAATGAATAGATTTTTTAATAGAGGATAACAGTGTAATTTCGTTTCCTTTTTAAGTTCAATTAAATATTAGCACATTTTGTGAGAGGAAATGATTTGATCATTTCAAAAACTTTACAAAAGTCACGCGAGCCAATTGCCCCCAAACCCGCCAAAGAGCTCTTATGCGGGGAAACTTCTCCATCAAGTTCATCAGAAGGTACGTCACAATAAATTTCCATCCAGAATGTCGGCCCAGTCTTCTCCATCGGAGCAAAATCTTAAATGCTATCTTTGAAAATTTTGTTAGGGAAACCCATGGATGGGGATTGGCACGGCCTGTGCAATGGCAATGGCAATGGCAATGGTACTGGCTGTGGCATGGCAGCTACTCCTACGCCAAGAAAACTCCCAACCGGTATCTTTGAAAATCGTTCATTCAGTAATTTATTATTCTTCTCTTTTTCTTAACGAATTGACAGCGTAATTCGTTTTCTTATGCTTAAATGTCGACCTTTTCTAATTAAGTAACGCGGCCGAGAGAGGAAGTTTGACGGCGACAAAAGGAATCGAAAACGATAGATATTGATATTATAATCGATTCAAGATTAAAGAAATTGAACGGTTTTAAGAATCATGTGGGGATCGTGTGGAATTGGCGAATTGGGTATTTTGAGCTGACTACAGAGCCTAATGCACCAATCACTGCCCTCCACCTGTGTCACACTGGCTGCTGTGGCACTCCTTGTCGGTGTTTTCTTGAGTCAAATCTCGAACATGTTTGTTGGCACTGGCAGGAACTTCCCATCAATTTCACTTCCTATATAAGGCTGATTTTCTGAAGCAAATCTGCATATTCTGTTTTAGGTCATTCCTTCAAAACAGTACAGTTCCCTTTATCTCTCCATTTTTCTCCTAAATACCCTTTTATCCATATAATTGATTGCCCAATTTGGTCCCCTTGTCCCTTGTCATGGCGCTTGGAGAGTTGGAGAGGAAGTTTGAGGAGTTGAAAGATATCAATGAGAAGCAAGAATCAAGGGTGCGTTACTATGAGACCAAAGTCCAGAACATCGTTTTTGGCTACCTCATTTTGACACGCTCGTTCTTCTTTGGTATCTCTCAGACTTCTTCCTCCTTCAACTGCAAGGATTGGTGGGTCATTCTGGCTTTAAATCTTTTATGTTCCTTCATCTACTTTTTGCTTTTTCTGGATGCGGTGGCTATGTTATTCCGGACCCAGTACCAGGTAGACATAATCTGCAAGGAACTCAAGGAACATTTCCAACAAATTTTGGTTTCCAAAAGCCAAGATGATGTGGGTCTGTCAATGGAGACTGGAGAATCTAGTGGTGAATTTGAATTGGGTCTCTATGAGAAGATGCTTATGCTTGATCATTTTAGAATTGTTGGGAGGAAAGTTTACATCTACTTCACTGTCTCTGCTTTGCTTGCTGTTACTGCTATTGAATTATATGTCTCCAAGTACGTGTTGTGCAACTGAAATGGATATCGTTTTGCCCCTTGTTAGTGGAGTTGTAGATAGAATTTTGCTTTGAAGTGTAGTGGGTGTAAAATCTCCGTGCAAGATAATAGCAGTAGAATGAAATAAAAGTATTCTGGGGAACCGGGCCAAAATTGAAGGAGGTTTTACGTTATAAATTCTGTTTGGTACCTTGTTCAGATGATCCTCTCCGTTTGTTTGTTGTCCACTTATATTCATTCATTTTTCTTAATGAAAATTTGGCTTTTCCATTAAAACAAGAGTTCTTGGATTTGTTTCTGCCACACAGAGTTGGAAGATATATATATATATATATAGTGGCTGAAAGGCCACTACCAAATAATATAAAAAATAATTAACAGGGGAATCTAATCGTTCTCAACAATTATTCTAAAATTTAATGTCAATGGCTAAAGATCTTGGTGGAAGACAGTCCTAATTGAAAGAACTACCCTTAACTGCAATCCAGATTATGCCACTCTACAAAACTTAGGTTGGTCAACGCTCTCTGATTTAATCAATATGGTCATCTAGAGATATTGTTAGGGCCTCCCTCAAATTTGCTCTTGATGGAGGTATTCTCATCCTTAGGAAAGATGTGCCCATGCCTACATAGTAACTGATCTTGTGAGAGGAGCCAAAAGGCCTATCGATGCAAATTCCCTTGACAATATAAAGTAAAACAGCCAAACAATAGGAAAACAGCAAGAACAAGTCCCTAGCTCTTATAGAGGCCTGGTGCTCTCTTCCTTAGAAGAAAACTAAGCCAAAAACAAAAACAAACCAATACCCATGCAAGGGCTCCAACCCAACGTCAAATACCCCTTCCCTACGTGGCCTATTGCCACGCTGTCCTATTACAAAATCAGGTACGGACCACCATACAGCGCACACCCATTCCTCTACTGCCCCACATCTTGTCCCTTTTATTCCCAACATTATGCAGTGTCCTCCTTGTGTGCGTATGGTGAATTGGAGGCCGTAGGTGTCACCATGTTGCTGATGGCTTTTCTTTTTGGCAAAGAGCATCTATGGTCCTCCATCTCAAAGACACAGGAAGTGTTTCTAGTGGGAATTATAAGATTTACATTTGTTTAAATGATTGGATTGGATTTTGGTGGTGACTTAATTGGAAAGTGATTGTGTAGTCCTTTTGGGTGGGGTTTCCTCTACCCCAGCCCTTAGGTTGTTCCTTTTTGTTTTCCTCATGGAATATACAGGTTTCTTATCTAAAAAAAAAAATGTTATTCATTCGGCTTGGGAGAGATCTATACAATCTAAACCAACTAGAAGCATGGAGCTCCTTGATAGATTGATCATAAATATGATATGGCTCTTGTTAATGTTTGCGTTCTATAGTTTTTTTATTAGGTTTGTCTTTAATTATTAACAATTAAAGCCTCTTTTTTTTTTTTTTGGAAGTTTTTGTTTGGCTCCCTTGTTCAGCTCTAATCGGGTTTTCTCCTGTTTTTGTATTCATCCATTTGTCTTAATAAGTTTAATTTTACATCAAAAGGGGGAAAATGGTTCTTAGATTTGTTTCTAAAACATGTTATATACATTTGTAATGTGTTAAATTACAGTTTTGGTCTCTAAACTTCCAAGTTTGTATATATAATATATGTATGTGTATGTACGTATGTGTATATATATTTTGGGTAAGAAACAAAACCTTCATTAATATAACCAAAAATCTCATCACTTCAAACACAACCCAATTGATAATTTATAGAAAAGTAGTGGCAAAGTACTCAGTGATATCCAAACCTACACTCTATTAACTAAGGATGAGAAAAAGAGTTGCACGAATTACTTGATGTGTCCAAGGTCCAGGCTTGATGGTTGGTGCCTGGTAGAATAGTTCAAATTTTGGTTTTCCATTGGCCAACTCGTCAATTTCAATGTCATATGAGGGTTGAATAAACATGAGATTCCAATGAAGAGTGCTCACATCCCAAAAAGTGAGCCTCTCAAGTGTCGATGTTAATTCCTACACTGTTTTACTTCTAAATCCTAATAACTTTCATAGCTTTCATGTATTAGAAAATCTTGGTTATCAGGGTATGCCTGTCAATATCAATGTGATATGAAGATTGCAAGGCATGAGTTTATTAAACAGGCGGCAGCTTCATGGTGCAGTGTCTCCAAAGCCTTTGCGTTTTATTCTTTCTTCGGAAATTTATGATCATTAGAGTTCGTTTCTCTATACGAACATTTGATTTTGCAGATCTATATGGGTTATCTTGTTTGTCATTTTTTTTGTTTTTCTTTCATGAAAATTGTTTGAATTAGTTAGGCCCATAAGGGTAGTGTTAGGTTGACCTACAGACCTCTTAGGTAGGTTATAGTCAGTTACCAGCTGTTTTATTGTCTTGTATTTGGGCATATTTCAATTGTTGTTTACTCTGAGTGGGTGTGAGACATTTTTATCTTTTTGGTTTTGGATAGATTTCGGTTGCAAGAATTTTTTATTGATGTTTTTGCCTTGTAAATTTTTAATTTCTTACTGAAGATTGTTTTTCTCAGAAAACAAGAGGCATTTGGAATGTATCATGCTATAATTTTGTTGGTTGTAGCTTTGCATTATACTTGTACCATGCTTCTGTTTTGTTTTGTTTTTTCTTTTCCATTAAAAGAGAGAAAATACTTTTTAGCTGTAAGATATATGTAGTCTATGCTTATTGTAGACGTTCAAGGTATACGTGGAGAATTTGCATTAGAAGGACAAGTACATATATTCTTTTAGTATTCTAGATAGAATTATGAATATCTTCCCTTAGTTGATAGAATGGAAACGTGAGATTCTGTTCGTGTTCATTGAAACCAACCACCATATAGTACTTCACTATCATCTCTAGGGTTTCTGATGTATCATTTTCTCTSAGTCTTGGATAAACATAACTATTGCTTATTGCTTCATTGTTAACCAATCGGAGAGCTTTTCTATAACTCCCTTGGATTGGGATATCTCTCCCATTTTGAAATTGCTTTAAAAAAATGTATTTTTTTTTATTTCAGCCTTGAATTTAGAATAAATATAATTTTTTCTGTGTTGCTAGTGCTAATTTAGAGTGGTTGATACACATGAATAATTAGTGGCCTATTAGTTGGGATGGATTCAATTGGGTTTATGAAATTTTCCAAATTTTTCATCGAGGACACAGAACAGTTTCCAGATAAGAACCTGGTCTAAATTTCACAACCTGTTCTTTTACTGGCTAGTTATTTTTGCACCCACGACCTATTTTGTTGGCTTTTTGTCATTTTTCCTTTACTGTATTTAGCTCATTTCGCTTGCTTTACTACATTATTCTTGTTGGAAAGCAGTTGAACAAGAGGTCTTTAACATTTTCATAATGATATGATATTGTCTACCTTGAGCATAACTGTGACTTGTTTTTGGTTTCACTCAAAAGATTTCGTACCAACRGAGATGTTCTCTCTCACATGTATACTCATGATTTTCATCTTATCTAATCAATATGGGACTTTGGTCTATTCCCAATAGTTTTGTTGCTGATTTTTTCTCTCTCTCATTTCAAATGAGGCTCACTTGTTTGATTCATTGCACTCAATCCCAAGGCTGAATTTGCTATGTTTTAGGAATGGATAGTGCATTTGTTGTTGGAGAATGCTTATAAATATGCTTTGGTTGAATTAGTCATTTTACTGTCGGCTCGGCGAGGCTTCTTTCACCACAAGACGTCCTGTTTTTTAATAGTTATATATGTAATATGCATTTGTACGAAAAGATATTGAAATCTCTTATTCGAATTTTCTTTTTCAGCTCATTTGACCTGCGGAAATTTTGGGATCGGGGATTCTGGCATTTGTGATGGTAAAGATGGAGCAGAAGGAGATTAGGTTAGAGAGTGAGACCAGCTTGACTCAGAATATCCAATCAAAGTGGATTTTTGTGCAACCAACTCTAGCTTTGGAAATACATAGATGGATTTAAAGAGTAAAATGTAATCGAATGAATTATTGATGCCCTCGTTGCAGCTCGGGGAGGTGAAGTCGGAGAGGATGACTAGTGTTGGAGTTGGAGGATCTGTCAGAGCAGCCGTTGAAGTAAGTAGTGGTGAAGACGGAGTTGCTTCTGGGGAAAATCTGCAGGACTGGACAAAGTTGCAAGAGTGTTGATCTCGTCCTTTATAGTTTATTCCCATGCTGCAGGGCCCAATTTGGCTCGATATCTTCGAGCACATGGTGGTTCAACGAGTACTCAAACTCTGGAAAKATTCAATCAGCAACTTTCAAGGTTTGATTCCGTAGAACAATAGCTTGAGAGAGAAAATCTATACAAACCTGCCACTTGTTGCATTTGGTAAAACTTTTCTTGTTGTTCAGGCACTTCTGMACTGCAACCAGAGGCTCAGATCACAAAAATAGTCATTATTCATAGGGAACATGGAAATTTGCATAAAGATATTATGAAGAATCTACAAAGCAACCAAGACAGTGGAGCTTCGCACCCGGTCGAGGCGTTCGCTTCTATGCCTACGATGTTGAGATTGAAGTAACGTGTCAAATCTTTTGATAGATGGTACATTTTAAAAAGTCTTAACAGTCACAATCTTTTTCGCTATCAATAGGTTCTTCCTATCTTGCTGTAGTTTTGTTTGTTTCCTGGGAAAACTTTCACATCATATGATAAAAACTTCCATATTTGCATGGTCTATTTTCAGGCATTCAAAATTCTGTGCACATCACCATTCTTTCTTCAATCTGTTAATTGTTTTTTACTCATCGAAAGTATACTCATTTTTCATATTTTATATTTGAACCATGAATTCTATTTTAATGCAACTCAGCCAAATAGAAAACATTAGCTTATTATAATGCAAATAAAATATGTGTCTCGTATAATTTAATTTATGAAAACTTTACCATGATTAAAGTAGTTTTTTTAATGTAAAAAATTCATAATGCTAAAATAGAGTAAAACAATCAAACACTAGAGGAAAACGATCCAAAATACTTGCCCAAAACACAATAAACATGAAATTATGAAGGGATTGATATATAGATGGTCTATTTAGGAGTCTTAATTACGTAAAAGGATGAAAAAATATAGAATTTACACTTGTCTAAAATAATTCCCAAATTAGATGGCACTCATATAGTAACAAAAATTACTAATATATCAATCTCAATATTAAATCATTATTAAAATATGAAATTGGTAAATCATTATTAAAATATATTAAATCTCTAAAATTGTGCTAATTCAACACTCTTGAAAATTCTAAAACCCCCCAAAATTCCGTAACCTTCTAAAATAAAATAAAATCAAAGTTTTAATGACAAATTTCAGTTCAAAAATTTAATGATCTCGGTATTTATTACCTGTACAAATCTATCTATTTAGTCTTTATATTTTAAAAAGAAAATTTTGAATTTTATTTTTAATAATTCATCTGTTTGAAGTTTATGTCGGTTAATACGTAAACTTGTCTGGAGTCATCCACGAAAGTAATCTTTAAATAATAAACTTATAGTGTAATGAAAAAAGCAATCTTTCTAACCTAAAACAAACAGAAGATAAGATAAAAGAGAAAAATCAATGTTTCAAAAAAAAAAAGAGAGAAAAAACAAAATCCAGTCCACC